ATATCTCATATATTTACCCATGCAGTTTTCAGTTCCAGTATTCTTCATTCTTCATTCTTTCCATCTGGTTTCATTCCCCTTCTGCCTGAGGACTTCCTTTAACATTTCCTACGGAGCAGGTCTGCTGGATTCTTTAAATTTTGTATGTTTGTATTCTTTTCTGAAAGATATTGTCACTGTATATTGAATTTTAAGTTGCCAGATTTTTCTTTCAGTTCTTTTAAGATGTTCCATTGTCTTCTAGTTTGCATTGTTTTTGATATAAAATCTGTTGTAATTCTTATCTTTATGCCTCTGTATATACTGTGTCTTTTATCTCTGTCTGCTTCTAAAATTTTTCTTTCTATCATTGGTTTTGACGTAATTGATTATAATGTAAGTTGGTTTGGGTTTTCTCATTTTTCTTGTTCTTGAGATTTATTGCCCTTCTTGAATTGCATTAAACTTAGAAAATTTTCAGCCATTATTTCTTCAAATATTTTTCCTCCCTCATTCCTCCTCTCCTTTGGAGGCTCCAATGGCATTTACATTTGGCCGCTTAAAGTAATCCCACAACTCCCTGATGTGTTTTGCTCTGTGTGTTTCATTTTTGACACCTTCTACTAATGTCATCAGGTTCATTAACTTTTCTTTCAGCAATATTTAATCTACTATTAATCTCATCTAGTGTATTTTTCATCTCACACATTGTGGTTTTAATCACTAAAAATTTGATTTGGGTGTTTTCATATCTTTCATGTCTCTACTTATCTTTTTTAATGTCTGTGATAGTCATAATAACTATTTTAATGTCCTTATATGCTAATTCTAATATCTGTACCAGTTATAGGTTGGTTTTGATTGATCAACTGCTTGTATGGGTCATAATTTTCCACTTTTCTGCATATTTGATTATCTTTTATTTGTTTCTAGACATTATACATTTTACCCTTTTGTGTGCTGGATATTCTTGTATTTCTGTATGTATTACTGAGCTTTGCTCTGGAATGCAGTTAAATCACTTGCATAAGCCTGATCCTTTTAAGTCTTGCTTTTAAAATGGGACTAGAGCAGTATTTAACCTAGGGCTAATTATTTCCCCACACTGAAGGGAGGCCTTCCTGAGGACTGCACCCAACGTCCCATGACTGGGTGGTAGGAATAGGCAATAATCCCAGCCCTGAGTTACTGCCAGCCACTGTTACCTCTGTTCCTCTTGGATGGTTATTTCCCCAAATGCATGTGCCAATCAGTCCTCTATGTGTCCAAGAGAGTGCCCTCCACTGATATTCAACTCTTTACTCTTGAGTATTCTGCCATGTGAAATATAGTCACTATGTTTTTCTAGGATTCTCATTTCCATCTCAATTCAAAATATCCACTGAACTCCATCTTGGTTTCCTCTCCCTGAGCCATGGCCTGTAAACTCTCTTATGACAATAGGCTGGGACAATCACAGGACTCACTTTGCTTGTTTCCCCCATCATAAGGATCACTATCTTTAATTGCTTTACGTCCAGTGTCTTGGACAATTTTTTCGTATGTATTGTTTGTTTCATTAGTTGTTTTTGAAGGAAGGATAAGTCCCATTCCTGAAATTTTATGTTGGCTTAAATCCCATTAAATCAAGCAGGACTACTTTAAATGGTTATCCCAGCCTCAGAGTTGCCCCATAAAATTGACTGAGATATTTATTGCAATTACATCACAGTTCAAATGCTTACCCTGCTTAGCCCTACTTCTGTCACTCTCTCATATGTTGTTCCCCAATAAACCACCTGCACACAAATCTCTGAGTCTTAGAGTCTGCCTCCTGTGGAACCAAATCTATGGCAGTCATTCAGGTTGTAAATAGTGAATAGAGGGACCAGGGTCTTCTAGCTCCAGACCTCTTGTTTTATCCACTATACAATTCATAGCTTCTGAGTTGGCAAAGAGTTCAGCAATAATCTAATTCAACACTCTTTATTTTACAGTTGAGGAATTTAGAGCTTACAGGCTAAGTGACTGTCCTGAGGGCAGATAACTCTAATCTTTTGAGAAATTTACTTGTATTGGCCTCATAAAATTTAGTTTCTGAAGCCAATTTTTAAAAGGGCTGTATACAAACACCCCATATTGTACAGAGTCACACTTTCCAATCTAAGGAAGCTATTTTTAATGTAGCTTCCACCTCAATCAGAATTTTATCTATCTACCTTCTCAGCTCTATGATTTGTTTTTTTATGTATATTCCCTTGTTTTTCAGAACTAAGACACATGAAGCAATATATCACAGGTCTTATTTTCTTCCCTTTTCCTCATCTTGATAAGGCTATTCATGGAGTGGTTGATCCTGAGAACCAAAGAGTATTTAAACATAGGCAGAGTGCTCTGCCACCACCCCATGAAAGCAACTTAGTATCTTAGGAAAGTGTTTGGGAATAAGGACTTTGGAGCTAGGCCTCTTAGTTTTTAATCCCAGCTCTAGCACTTAGAACTTTGTCAATCTTGGACAAGTTCAGGAGCTACATTTATATTTACTGGGCCTCAGTTTACTTATCTGTATTCTAGTACTTGCCTCAGAGTTGTTGTATGCAAAGTGCACAAAACACTACCTGGCACACAGTAAGTGCTCAATAGACATTAGCTATTTCTATTGTTATTTTCTCTATTGTGATGTATTATTATTATTATCATACTCTGGATATTGAAAAGGGCAAGATGATGCCTCTTTGGGGATTCCCACTTATACCCTGAGCATCTATCATTGCCTATGAAAAGCAGCCAACAGGACTTATAGCCAAACACTATCAGTAGGTCTTGCCAGCTCATACCCACTTTCCTCTTCTCTCCTGCACCAGGCCACATCCAAAGACTAGAAAGTTTAGAATCTTAGTTTTGGTGTTCAACTGAGTTTGAAATTTATGGAGTTCAAGTAATTCATACTAGAATGGAGCTAAATATATATTCTTATATAGTAGTAGTAGCATATTCAAACACTGTTTTCATTCTTACGCTTATCCTTTCAATGGAGGAAATATGTGAGTATTCTGTTACTCTGTGTCTGAATTCTTCAGTATCTTAATTACCCATCATTAGTAGCCTTTCCTTCAATTCCTCAATCTTAATGCTTCTGGCCCAGTTCCTTGACACAGTACAGAACTCTAATGAGAGTAAATTCTATTCTGAACTCATTTTGAATTGGAACCCTAAAACTTTGCTTATGCCTCTGTTTATCTATTCATGAACTAGAGTTCTATTTCATCCTAGATGGCCCTT